GCCTCGCACCGAGGACCTATCCACGTCAACATTTACCCAGAATGCTTTGTGTGTAAATAAAATAGCCCTGCCCATGTTAAAATATGTATTAAAAATTTACAAAACTAAACAGCCTACAGTATTTTTACAGTCTTTATTTTACAGTTAAAATAAATGTTTATCAAATAAATTCTAATGTTACAACTAATCGGGGATCCCTTTAAATCTGCAGCAGTGTGTGTGCAGTGACTGATCCTGTCCTTGTTGTGTTCCAGTTCCCCTCTCTGTGTAACCAGTACTACAAGCTCATCACCTTCATCTGTGAGATCTTTCCAGAGAAGATCCCACAGCTGCCTGAGGAGCTCTTTAAGAGCCTCATGTTTTCACTGGAGCTGGGAATGACCTCGTATCCTCTCAGTGCTTTCTTAYTTCTTCATGAAGTCAGACTTTTAGTCTTCTCTTACACTTTCTTTAAACATTTAGTTTCCTAAATTTCACATTGATTTTTTTTTTTTTGCTGCTGAAAATTGTCTTATGTTTTTCCCAACATAAAACTAATTAAATTACAAATGAACAGAAATGGAATATTAAAATAAGCCCTGTTTACAGTGTAATTTACCAAACTACACATACGAAAGCTACAATAAGAAGTAGATATATTTTCCAGTCCTAAAAGCAGAATATTCCCAGCTGCTTCATCTGGCTTCTTCCTCAACGTTTCTCCTCAGAATGAGCTCAGAAATCAGTCAGCTATGTTTAGAGGCTCTGTCTCCTCTGGCTGAACAGTGTGCCAAAAACCAGGAGAAAGATTCCCCCCTCTTCATCGCCACCCGCCACTTCCTGAAGGTAATCCTCACACCTGCTGTTCTCAGGGAAACAGTAAGTCTGTGTGCACCATTTTCACTGGTTTCTGTGTCTTCAGCTGGTGTTTGACATGCTGGTGCTTCAGAAACACAACACAGAGATGACTGTAGCAGCAGGAGAAGCTCTTTATACACTCGTGTGCCTGCATCAGGTCAGCATGGTTTTCAAGGTCAACTAAAACGTTGTGTTGGCAGATTTTTTCCTCCTGATTATATAAACGGTGGGGTGCGAAGGTTTTGGCAGCCTTGTTAAATTTCCTGATTTACCTTTATAAATCATGGATTGTTTGGATTAAAAATATCAGTAAAATATATCATAGGGGACAAACACAGTGATATTTGAGAAGTGAAATGAAGTTGATATGATTTACAGAAACAGTGCAGTAATTGGTTAAACAAAATTAGGTAGTTGCATAAATTTGTGCACCAAAAAAAACCTTATCTGAATATTTAGTAGCTCCTCCTTTCACAGAAAGAACAGCCTCTAAACACTTCCTACAGCTTCTAATGAGAGTCTGGATTGTGTCTGAAGGTATTTTAGGACAGGGATTCTTAACCTTTTTGACCTCAGGGCCCAATTTATTGAACATAAAGTGGCACGAGGCCCAGTCAGACATTACCAATGTATRGATCAAAATGATAATTATTCTAATCTAAACCTTGGTTTAATTTTTATTGTATTTACATCGTAACTAAAATATCATAACTAACATGACTCTGTCTGTTTTATGACTGTTTTGCAGTCTTCATTTCTATGTTTTTCCCCCACAACCCTATTGTTCAATTTATCGACTTTATTTTACTTTATTATATTCTGTACTCCTCATTTCTATGTTTCTCCCACACTACCCTATCATTCCATGTATCTACAGTTGTTTCTTTTCTGTTTCTTTTCAAGTTGTTGTCCTGAAAGGCGCTTTATAAATAAAATGCATTATTA